TTTCGACTGTTTTGGGTCTCCTGGGGGGGACTTCGCCGCCGCGGGGCTGGATTCGGCTCTGAATTCTGGTCAGAACGCGCCCCACAAGGTCGGGAGTTGCTAGAAGTACCATTGGCCCAAGATGCCCCCAGGATTTCCACGGAGGCCCCCACGGCCTCCAGAGCACCCCCACGAGGTCCAGAGTGCTCCAGGGGCTCCAACATTGAACGAAAAGCTGGGGGCACCTTGGGCCAGGGACACTTCTAGCAACACCCGACGAGGTGTCTAACAACCGATTTTGGTAAGGAGCCCCAACCTCCAGCATCATGAATAATCGGGACAGCGTTTTCTTTTGAGGGGGCTCTGAGGTCCTGCTTCGGGCCCCTGGGCAATCAACGGAAACGGCACCAGACGAACAAAATTGTCCCAGAGAGTGGGTCAAGAACTCTGGGGGCCCACGTCGCGAAACGATCGTAATGTCGGATTTCTAGTGGGAGGGGGGGCTAAGACGGGAGCAGCAGGGAGGAACGGAGGAGGGAGAAACCCTGCCCCTGACATCCTCCGCTCCTTCTCTTGATCCTCAGCCTCTTCATCCTTGCCCCCTTCCTCCCCCTCTCCTTCTCCTGCGTTCCCGCTATCGAGTTTACACCCCCTCCTTATCCACTGTGCCCTCCCCCTGGGGCACCCGAGCGGTCCCCGGCTCCTGGGCCCAGACATCCCATGTCTTGGACTTCTCCAGCCGTCCTGCGGTGTCGGGTCCTCGTCTTGAATCCGCGGTGCCCCGCGTCACTGGCTCCTTCCTCCTCCCCTCTTCCTTGCCCCTGCTCTCAAAATGTCCGCATCGTCATCATCACCATCACCATCATCACAGTCATGTAATCACCATGTCGTCCCCCCCCCTTCACACAGTTCGTGGCCCCATGAGGAGATCAACCGAAGACCCTGGTGGGAAAGTCCGCATGGTGTACCGCCTCAAGTCGACACACCCCTCACACGGTTCGTTGCCTCATAGCGAAATCCACCGAAGGCCCCATTGGGAGGGTCTGCATGGCGTGCCGCTCATTTCGGCACACCCCTCACACGGCTCGTGGCACCATTAGAAGCTCCACCGAAGGCCCCAGTGGAAGGGACCGCATGGCGTACCGCCTCATTTCAACACACCCCTTACACTGTTCCCGTTCGTGGTCGCATATCCTCCGAAAACCCCATTTGGAAGGTCCGCATGGCGTGCCGCCTCATTTCGCAGGAAAGTTCTGGAACCGGGCCGAACCAGCCGAACCGAACCTGGCTGAACAGAACCGGCGCGAACCAACCTTTTTTTCCAACACGAACCGAACCGGAGTGGTCGTTCTTGCAACTCGAACCAGACCGAATCGAACCAGGTTCGATTTTCAACTGAGCCGTACCAAACCAGACCGAACTGGAACGCGGAAGCCACCCCAGCGGACCCTAGTGGACCCTAGCGGACCTTGGCGAACCCTAGCAGACCCTAGCGGACCCCAAGCAAACTCCAGCGGACCCTAGCAGACCCGCCAGCGGATCATAGCGGACCCTGAGGGACACTAGCGGGCCTTAGCGGACCCTAGCGGGCCCTAGCGGGACCTAGCAGAACCCTAGCGGACCCCCTAGCGGATAGCGGACCCCAGCGAACCCCAGCGGACCCTAGCGCAACCCCTAGCGCACCCCCTAGAGCACCCTGGCGGACCCTAGCAACCCGCAGCGGACCTCCTAGCGGACCCCCTGACGGACTCTAGCGGACCCTAGTGACCCTAGCGGACCCGCCAGCGGACCCCCTAGCGGACCCCCTAGCGGACCTCCCATCGGCCCCCCGCGGACACCCGAGCGGAGACCCCAGCGGACCGTCCAGCAGACCCCTCAGCGAACCTGTCCAGCGAACCCCCTGGCGGACCCCGTGGCGGACCTCCCAACGGACCCCCTGGCGGACCCCCTCGCGGACTCCCTAGCGGACCTCCTGGCGGACTCCCCAGCAGACCCTAGCGGGCCCTAGCGCAGCGGGACCCTAGCGGATCTTAGCGGAGCCCCTAGCGGACCCTCGCGAATCCCAGCGGACCCCCTAGCAGACCCTGGCGGTCGACCCTAGCGGACCCCGCTTGTGGACCCCCTCGCGGACCCGCCAGCGGACCCCCGTAGCGGACCCTTTCGAAGCCTAGCAGACCCCCTAGCAGATCCCCTGGCAGACCCCCGAGCGGATACCCTAGGGGACCTCCTAGCATACCATCTGGCGGACCTTGGCGGACCCCGGCGGACCCCGTCGGACCTCCCAGCGCCCCCCCGGCGGATCCCCCAGCGGCCCCCCCAGCGGACCCTGGCGCATCCCCTAGCGGACTCTACCGGACACCCTAGCGGACCCCCCAGCGGACCCCAGCAGACATTAGCGGCCTTGGCGGACCCCCTCGCGGATCCTTGCGGACCCTCGCTGACCCTTGCGGACTCTAGCAGACCCCTGGCGGACCCCAGCGAACCCTCAAGCGGATCCCCAAGCGGACCACCTTGCAGACCCCCTTGCGAACCCCCTGGCGGACCCCCTGGCGGACCCCCTGGCGGACCCCCTGGCGGACCCCCTAGCAGACCCTAGCGGATCCTAGCGGACCCTCGCAGACCCCATCGTTCCCCGAGCGGGCCCCCTCGAGGACCCTCGCGGACGCGGACACTAGCAGACCCTAGCAGACCCCCCATCGGCCCCCCTTGCGTGCTCTCTAGCGGACCCCCTAGCGGACCCCTTAGCGGACCCGAGCTGACCCTAGCAGATCTCCTAGCGGATCCCCTGGCGGATCCCCTAGCGGACCCCAGCGGACCCCAGCGGACCCCAGCGGACCCAGCGGACCTTAGCGGACCCGAGCTGACCCAGCGGACCCCCTGGCGGACCCCAGCGGGGTGCTGGGACCCTCAGGGAGCCTCGGGAATCTCTTTTCGGGCCCCAAAGCCACGGAGAAGAACAAACAACGAGGGAAAGGGTCCCGGGGCGCCCGACTCTCCTTCAGAAAGCGAATCCCGACCCGTCAGGACACTGGCCGCTGGGCGGCGGGGGCACCGCAACGGTCAGCCGTCGAAGATCACGCCGCAGCGAGGGCGCCGACGTCGTCGCCGCCGCCGTCGCTCCTCCTCCAACCCCTCCGCCTCCTGCTCATGTTTTTTGGTCGATCGACGGCCGCAACATGTAATAAAGCACTCGTTGGCGCGCCAGCCTCTCGGTCGCAGGAACCGGGCCGCCCAAAACCAGACCGTCCCAAGGCCACCGACCCATACTGGCCGAACCGTCCCGGAATCGCCAAACCGGACCGGCTCAAACCAGACGGCGCCGAAACCGAACGGCTGCAACCGAACCATTCTGCCGCCGAAACGGCCCGAACCAGACCCTCGCTGCCCTCAGGAAGGAGAAAGGACCACGAGGGGGAGGACGAGGAGACGGAGGAAGACGAGGTAGACTAGGTTGCCCGAGCCGGACCGAACTGGAATTAAACGCATGGCGAACTGGGCCGAACCGAACCGGCGGGATTCCGAGACCGAACCGAACCGAAACAAAGTTATTCCGACGCCGAACCGAACCGAACTGGAGGCAATTGGGAACCTAACCGAACCGAGCCGAACCGGAACTTTCTGGATTTCGGCGCACCCCTCATACGATTCTGGCCCCATCGGGAGTTCCACCTGAAGCCTCACAAAGGGTGCGTCCACCGCGATTCCCCGCCAATTTCTGCACACTCCTCACACGGCTCGTGGCCCATAAGGAGTTTCTCCTTCTTCGTCCCACCTGCCTCGTGGTACTCACACTTGCATATGGTTGTCCTTCGCCAAGATACTTTCTACACGGAGTCCCGGGAAGTCCCGACTCTTTCCCCAGGGCTGGCTTTTCAACCCGAAACGTTGTGTGACGCCCCCGTGGCCCGGCGAATGCCCCCAGAGGCCGACAATGGCCAAACACTGTCCTTCGTATTACTCTACGACGCGAGCATGCCTCGAAGTTTGGCGAAACGGCGTGAAGCCTCTGCAGCCGTCGTGCTACGACGATGAGCGCGGAATCAGGAACAGAGGGCCCTGTCTGAGCACGGCGAGCCTGGGCGGCCACAATGAAAGCTTCATGGCCTGAATCTGAAAAGCGGCCATGAAACCGGAGCCACTCCTGATCCCAAAGTTGTCCTTTTATCAGCGCCTTGACTGCACGATTGACACGTGCGATAAGAACCTTTGTCATAAAGAATCTAGGGGCGCGCTTTTCGTTGATCCGTGGACTTCCTAGATGCCACAAGGCTCCCGCTGGTCCCTGGGGCCATCGTGGGATACGGGGGCACCTACTGGCAGGCGAGATTTTACCTTGGTGCGCCTAATGTACGAGAAGGAAAAGCGGAGGGGAATGTGGAGGAAGGGGATTTTGACGAGGAGATAGAGAGGTGATAAAGCCCTGGGGAGAGGGGTAATACGTCCGCCCGCTAAACCTGACGCAGGATTGTCCAAACCCCTTCGACCCCCTCCCCAATTTCATAATTTTCTGTGGCTCGCGCAATGCGGCGTGCGGGTTCCGAACAATTATTTCTACGCAACGCACCACGGTTGACAGAACCACATCGAGAATCAAAAGGTGGCTAAGCAAACCGGGAACAACGCACAGTCCCTCGTGCAGTCGAACTGTTCTCTTGCACTTCATCCAGCATTTGTGTACGGGGCGTTAGAAGGGCCCATGGCGCTGTACGCACGCCAGCATAGAAGCTGACTCGACACTTTGTCTGTCCTTTCCCTCTCCGCCTTCCGCCCTCCTTGCTCCTTCCTCTCCTCTGCCTTCGTCTTCCTCACTCCTGTCGCAACAGCATTGCCAATTTGCTGTTCAAGCCACGGGCCACAGCATGAGTTTGCCTACTGCAGGTCAGCTTGCCGGTTCCGATCAATAAACCGAAGTCGCCACGATGTCGGCGCGAACGTGGACGTTGGGGACCCAGGGGCGCCGCCTGGCACAGGAAAAACAACTTGCGTTGAATCTCTCGGAGGGATGTAGTAAGCATGGGGTCCTGGGCGTTGTGGTCGTGGGCGACGGCGTGGGAGGCGGCGTCGGTGGCGGCGTGCTCGCGTGCTCGCCGTGCTGCCACTGTCCGAAGCCTCGCCCAGGGGAGAGCGGGTACAGAGTCAGCCTTGGCACCTCGACGCCTCGCCTCGGATAGACGAGCGCGTTCTACTACTCGCAAATGGCCTGGATTCCCCGCGGGGGATCTACGGTACATTGCATCGAAGCAGACGCGTGCTTTTCTGACGTTTGCGAGTGGACACTTTGCATGCAGTGGAACGCGCCCGGTGATTGGAAGTACAGCCCCCCCCTCGATCCCCTCCTGCTGCGGAAAAGGGGACCTGTCCTTCGCGTGCCGTGGCGGTGGCCCCGGCGGCACGCCACGCCCCGCAAGCGGACAGCGTGTCGCCCCGCTCCGAGCTGCGGGAGGCCGGGGAAGGGTTCGTGGCGTGGCCGCCCGGGGAGGCCAGGGCGTGGTCAGCGCATCGCGCCGAAGCGTGGTGGGCCAGAGCCGGCGGCGCGACACGCTCAGCTGGCGCTCGCAGCCGCACTGCGGCGCGATTGAAGCTCGAGTTCTGCGATGCTGACCTCGTCTGGTACAGTGCCGCTGGCGGATTGCAAAAAAACCAAGGATTGCAAAAAAACCGAAGGATTGCAATCCTGTTTTTTTTTGCAATCCTGCAATCCTTCTTGCAATCCTGTTTTTTTTTGCAATCCTTGGGTTTTTTTGCAATCCTTCGATCATGACGGCCAGGGTGGTATTGAAGACGACGCTGGTCATGACGACGGTCGGTTCGATTGCGGCGCAGCGGATCATCATTGCGGTAGTGGTCGTGAGGATGAGCAATGTTGTGGTCAAGATGATGATCATGATGGCCATTCGTATTACATGATGACGATCAATATGGCTGTCGAGATTTTAATCGCGACGACTCTGGGTGGGAATGCGCGCCAGTCCCAGTATCAAGTTGCGCGCCAGCATTGGTTCTTATGTTATGCGAGGGAGGAAAATGGGAATGGACGGATCCCGCTGACTCGGTCGACCTGGCCACCTTGACTCCTCCTACTTTTATGATTCCTGCAATCAACCGCTACTCCTGCTCCTTACTCTCCCTCCCTCCCTCCCTCCATCCTTGGTTACCTCCCTCCCTCCCATCCCTCCCTCCCTTCAACTCTTGCCTCCTCTCCTTCTCCCTCCCTCTCTCTCCCTCCTGATTGAGCTCCCCAGCCCCCTGACTCCTTTCCCAGCCGCTTTCTCTTCCTCTCCCTCCTCCCCGTCTTCCCGCTCCCTCCTCCTCCTCCTCCCCTTCTCCTCCTCCTCCTCCTCTCCCCTCCCCCCCCTCCTCCTCCTCCTCCCTCCTCCTCTCTCCTCCTCCTCCTCCTCCTCCTCCCTACTCCTCCTCCTCCTCCTCCTCCTCCTCCTCCTCCTCCTCCTCTTCTCCTCCTCCTCCTCTCCTCTTCCTCCTTTCACTTTTCTTTTTCCTTTTCCTTTTCCTCCTCTTGCTCCTCCTCCTCCTTCTCTTCCTCCTCCTCTCCCTCTTCCCCTCCTTCTGCCCCTCCTCCTCCTCCTCCTCCTCCTCCTCCTCCTCCTCCTCCTCCTCCTCCTCCTCCTACGTCTCCTCTTCCCCCCTCCTACCGCATATTCGGAAGTCTCGAGGCGCATGCGCGTCTGAGCCCCGAGTTGCCAGACCCACGAGACGCTCTGTCGCGCGCGACGCGGTCTTCGTTGGAAGCGCGCTCGTTGTAGTACTAGAGGAGCGGCCTTTGAGACACTAAGCGTGTCAGGAGGTCCTGGCCCAACGTAGTGCGAATTGTTTGGGTTCTGGCCAGGCAACCTCCTGTCCCCGACCCTGTCCCTGCCCGCTCTCTCGCTCCCTCCCTGCCGCTCTGCTGCTGGCCAGCCCCCCGTCCAGGAGAGGGGCCGAGGGCTCGGGAGGGATGGGAGAGAAGAGGTGAGGACGATATCCAAAACGTGACAGAGCTCGTACAGTAGAAACACATGATGAGAGATCCCGCGACAAGAAATCTGGGGGCACGTTCGTCGACGATTTCGGAGCTGCCTGAAAATGCCCCAAGACGTCTGCGGGTCTCCAATGTCGTTGGGGGCTAAGAAGCTTCCGTAGGGCACCTGCTTGCAAACTGGTTCCTTAACTATTATTTGACTTGCCCACTGCAACGGAATTGTGCTGGGGCGTGGGGGGGGGGCTAGAAGCCCGCCCTTGATACCCCTCAGCGGAACCGCCAGAAAATCTCTTGCGCTTTGGCTTTTGTCTGCTGACTTTCAGGTCCTTGGCCCTAAACATAACTTTCACACACACGCACACACGCGCGGACACACACACACACACGGACACACACACACACACGGACACACACGTACACACACGGACACACACGCACACACACACGGACACACACGGACACACACACACACGGACACACACACGGACACACACACGGACACATACACAGACGGACACACCCACACAAACATACACGGACACAAACACGGACACGAACACAAACACAAACACACAAACACAAACACAAACTCAACCACAAACACAAACCAAAACACAAACACAAACACAAGCAAACAAACAAACACAAACACAACACACACACACGCAACCATAAACGCACACACACAACACACAACCACAAACACAAGCACAAGCACAAACACACAAACACACACGCGCACAAACACACGCAAACACAAACACACGCACCCACACGCACGCACACAAACACACACACGCACACACGCACGCACGCACGCACGCGCACCGGCACCGGCACTGGCACCAGCACCCCCAGCCATAGACAAAGCCACAGCCACACACACCCACACCCACACCACCACCCACACACACACAACACAGTCACACACCCACACACACACACCGACACCGACACCGACACCCACACACACCAACACACACACCAACACACACACACACCCACACACACGTCCACACACACGTCCAAACACACCCACACACGCGTCCACACACCCACACACACACACCCACACACACCCACACACAGCCACACACACCCACACTCACCCACACACACGCACGCACACAAACACCCCCCCCCACACACACACAATACATACAACACATACAACACACAACACAAGACACACACAACAGAACAGACACAGCACAGACACAGCACACACAACAAACACAACACACACAACACACAACACACACAACACACACAACACAAACAACACAACAAACAAAACACACACAACACACAACACACAACACGCACAACACACAACACACAACACACACAAACAAACACACAAACGCACACACAAACAAAGACGCACAAACACACACACAAACACACAACACACAAACATACACACACAAACACACACAAACACACAACACGAACACAACACGAACAACACACAAAAGACAGAGCACACAACACACACAACACACAATACACAACACACAAACACACACTTGTGACACAAATCACACAGTTCACAACACACACACAACACGCACAGCACACACCATACACAACGCACACACAACACATAACACCCAACACACGTCACACATAACACACACAACATACACAACACACAACACATACAACACACACAACGCACAACACAGACAACGAACACACAACGCACAACACAAAACACACAACATACAAACGACACACATACAACACACAGCACACACCATACACACCAGACACACACAACACACAACACACACAATGCACACGCAGCACACACAACACATTCAATCCACACAACACACAACACACATCACACACAACACACACCACACAGACCACACACAGAACACACAGAACACACACAGCACAACAAACACATGATATCAGAGAAAAAACCCAAACATAATCTTTTTAGGGCTGTAGGGCTATAGGGCTACAGGGCTATATGGGCTCTTGGGCGCTATATGGGCTATATGGCTATATGGGTTATAGGGCTATAGGGCGATAGGGATATAGGGCTATAAGGCTATAGGGCTACATGGCACCGGGCACTCGGGCACCCGGCACCCAGGCACCCACCCGGGCACCGGGCACCCGTCACCCGGGCACCCGGGCACCTGGGCATCCGGGCACCCGGGCCCGGCCACCGAATCGGCGGCGAACCCGGGCACCCGGGCACCCAGGCACCCGGGCCCGGCCACCGAATCGGCGGCGAACCCGGGCACCCGGGCACCCGGGCACCCGGGCCCGGCCACCGAATCGGCGGCGCACCTCACCTACCCTTAAATCCGCTAGGACCTCTACAGAGGCAAGCTCTGATTGGGGAACAACACACAACAAACACAACACACACCACCACACACAACACACACGATCCACACAAACACACCGACAAGACACACAAACACACAAACACACACAGACTCACACACACAAATACACACACAGCCGCACACAAATAAACACGAACACACACAAACGCACACACACAAACACACACACAGAAACACACACAACACACAAACACACACAAGCACGCACAAACACACAAACACACACAAGCATACACACAAGCATAGACACAAACACACACATAAGCACACACATCAGCACACACACACACAACCACACACAAACACACACAAACACACACAAACACACACAAGCACACACAAACACACACAAGCACACACAAACACACACAGACACACACAGACACATACAGAGACACACAGAGACACACAGAGACACACAGTGTGTGTGTGTGTGACAGACACAGCCGGACACACACACACAATTCACACACACACGCACAATTCACACACACAATTCACACACACACGCACACACACACAACACACACAACACACACACAACACACACAACACACACAACACACACACACATTCACACACACGCGCGCTACTTTGAAGTCGGCGGCGCAGAGGGACCTCAGGGCTAGTCGGCAGGTGAGGTGCCAAGTCCAGACGAACTTCGTCGAACGCGCCACGTTGAAAGAGTCCAAAAGACCCGAGGAGCTTGAGCTCGACGCGGGCAGTTTGAAGGGCAAGCTGCCGCAAACCACACACACCAG